ATTGGTACACATTGGCGAGAAGGGCACATTTCCAGCTGTCTCCATCCAGATCCTCTGGCTTCTGTCACTGATCACATAGTAGGGTTAAGGAAGAAAGGAGTGAAGGAGAAGGGGGGCTTCCCACCAGACTACCAAAAGTGGCGATTCTTGGCGTCTTCCTCCATTCTTAAAAATTGCAACATTTTTTGTTCTGTGCTTCATGAGCCCAAGTTGGGGTCAGGGGCATGGAGATCACAGAGCTTAGGAAGCAGTGCCAGTAGATATTGTCACACTCTCCAGGTCCTTAACATCCTTCTTTTAGTACCTGATTTTTTATTGTTGTTAAGGTTTTTGCCATAGGGTACATGCATTCATGAGAGACTGACAGAAGAAAAGTGAGAAATCATCCCCGGGCAGATGGCCACACTACAATCCCTTCTCCTTCAGTCTCCTCTAGGGATGCTGAGCACACATGCACATGCACCCAGCCTAATTTTCAAGCCATGTATCTGGGGCTCTAACTGCGATCAACCATGTGGGAGTCCAGCATCTTAACCACGACACCACCTGCTGGCCCCAGTACTCATAATTTTTTTTTAGTTTGTTTGTTTGTATATTTATTTCTTCCATAAGCAAGAGAGAAGAAAAAAAGAGAGAACCCCAAATAGGGTCCCATCACCACAGTCCATCTCCCAGCCTTCAGCCAGCCCTAGGTCATGGGCATTCGTGCTCCCAGTGTACTCAGGGATGCCTCCAGACTTGAATCAGAACCTTTCCATGTGGGATTACCTTGTGGAGCATCATGTTTTTACTACTGCACCACTGTCAGGTCCCTCTTATCCCATTTTATCTCCAAAGCCTGTGAGGAAGAGCAAGATCTGCCTCTCTGAGTACCCCCAACTTTGCCCTAGAGTCATCTCCTTGGCAGTCTGAGTCCCTTTCTTCTTTGCTGTGGACAGGATGAGAAGGACCCCCTCACATCCAAGACAATCTGGAAATAATCCATTTACAGGGGCCAGAAGGTAACATAGTGGTTAAGACTCTGGACTCCCACATGTTTGACCACAGTTTGAGTTCTCGATCCCGCAGCTTGAAACATGCTAGGTGCGTGTATGTGTATGCCCAAAATCCTGAGAGGAGAATGAACTGGGGTGTGGCCAGCCCCCCTTGGGGATGAGTTTTTGCTGTCCATCTCTTTTTCTGGTGAGTGCACTCACCCTATAGCAAAAATCTCTCAATAAATAAATTAATAAAGGTAGCTGCTATTCCCAATTTGGAATGCGGAGCCATGTAAGGGTATGTAGTGAAGGAGCTGAGTGGCAGGTTTTCCGTAAGCCTTCTTTCTCAGCCTTCATCCATCCTTACTCCAACATATTCAAGGCATAGTGAAGGACTAAGGAGCCCTTAAAGCACTCACTCTAGATTCTGGGTGTTTCTCTAAGGAACAGACCTTCCCTCTCCCAATTCTCTGTCAGGCCCGCCTCACACTCCCAAAATTTAGCTAAGGATCCCAAATCTACAGTCTGGAGTCAGCTGCTTTGAAATCTACAAGAAACCCCTTTTGAGGGGAAAAGGGGTAGGCTTGAAGTGAGTGGGAGACCATGGTAGAATTCCCTGAACTCTGGAGAAAAGGGACTAGTTGAGGTGCTTGGCACTGGTCCAGGGATCAGCTTTTACTCTAATGAGACACCTTTCTTCCTTCTCTCCTGTTTTTCCCGCTGGTTGAAGAGAGATCTGGTTGTCAGAATCTCCTACCTTTACACTTTTTTTTTTTTTTTTTTTTTTTAATTTCCATAGTCTGTGTGTGCTATCCAGAGAGAGGTAGAGAACTCCCACGGTGGGGTGTGGCCACTATACAATCCTTTTTCCTCCCTTTGTCCTCCTGTCAGGATTTTGGGCACATATATACCTGGCATATTTTTCTTTCTTTCTTCTTTTCTTAAAGAAGTATTTTATTTAACTTTATTTATTTATTCATTTATTTTAACTTAACTAGAGAGGGACACAGAGTGAGTGAGACAGAGAGAAAGAGAGAAAGTAAGAAAGCAAGCTGCCAGGTACAGGACTCGAACCGCAGTCGGCTATGTGGGACTCAAACTAAGGTCAGCCATATGGGATCTGACTCCCTGTGCTCAGGGTTTAATGGCTGTACTACAGGACCAGCCTCTACCTTGACACTCTGAAGGTTGTGATGCAGGTTCCCTCTCTGTAGCTCCCAAAGCCATGAAAGGGGAAAAGGCAGGCAGAGAAAAAGGTGCCATGAGGCCCACCCACAACCAAGAGAGAAGGCAAAGGAGAAGAAACTGACCACAAAGGAAGCCAGGAGGAAATGCCTGCTCTGGAAACATCATCCTTACCCAGTCCTCTCTGGATCCCCTCTTGCATGTCGACAAGGCTGTGTGTCTGAGTGTGCCAGCTCTCCTGGCTGGTGATCCTTCTCTGCTGTATAGGCAGCCGGCTCTCTGCCCCAGCACAGAGCACATGCTGGGGTCTCTCACTGCTTTGCTACTCATCTCAGTGTGTCTGTGTTGCAGATTCCTAGAGATGAAGGAGGGCCTGGGGCCCTGCCAGTAGGAAGATGGTGAGCTCTGGGGCCCAGTGAGTGCATATCCGCCTGACTGGAGGAGAGTGGGGAGTAAAAGGCTGCTGGCAGCTCAGCAAAGCTCAAGGTTCTGGTGACTCACAGCAGTGGGGGTGGCTCATGAAAACAACACAGGGGAAGGGGGCTCAGGCTTGTTAGAGCTCTTTTCCTCATTACTCTCCACTCTGAGCACTGTAGTTGAAGATCTCTCATCTGGATTGTGGGGCAAGGGGAGGGCCCAAGTATGAAGGAAGAGGAGAACAGGAGTAGAAACTGAACATTCCCGATGAGAGTCTTCCCATTGAAGAAAGGATAGGAGAGGCCAGATATTCTTGCCCTTCCATGTCCTTGGCTGCACAGAGACTTCTAGGCATCCACATGTGCTGGGCAGCTCAGTGCCTCTGGACACCTTCCAGAAGAGGGGCTTTTCACATAGGCACAGTTACTCCTTGCTCTCATTTTACTGCCCAGAATTCTGGTTACTCAACTGACACCAAATTTTTATTTACTTTTTATTTTTGTTCTTCTTCTTATTATTATTATTATTTTGGAGAGATTTTTGCCATAGGGTGCATGTGCCCACCAGAGAGACAGAAAGCAAGAAGTCACCCCTCCCTAGGGGGGCATACCATGCCACAGTCCCTTCTCCTCCATTCTCCTTTCAGGATTTTAGGCATGCATGCACCCACACCCAATGTGAGCTTAAGCTGCCAGGTCTAGGGCTCAAACCACGGTCCATTATGTGGGATTCCAGCGACGTAATCATTATGCCATCTGCTGGTCCTGAAACCAAATTATTATTTATTTAACTTATTTCATTGATGCATTCACCACAGAGCAAGAGCGAGCACTCCAATGGATTGTTGTCATGTCATAATCCTTTTTCCTCCATTCCTCCTTCCCATCAGGACTTTGGTCATATGTGCCTGGTGTGTTTGCAAACTGCCAGGGGTGGGACCAGTTGGCTGTGTGGGATCTGGCTCCCTTAACCACCACACTATAGGACTGGCCCCCACATTTTTAGAAACTTTTTAAAGAACCCCCAAACCAAAAAAGCATTGTTGGAGAATTAGAACTTAAAAAGATTACTACCTGGTCTCAGTACTCTCTTTCCTAAAAACAGATACCTGGGGGGACCAGCAGGTGATATGGTGGTTAAGACACTGCACACTTCCACATGGCTGACCAGGGTTCGAGTCCTGGATCTGATGGTTTGCTTTCTCACTTTCCCTCTCTCTCTCTCTCTCTGTCTATCTCTGGTCAAATTAAAATAATAAATGAGTGAGTAAGTCAAATTTTAAAAAGAGAAAATAAACAGATATCTGGGACAAGAAAGGAACAGCTGGGGGCTCTTAGGCTTCTGAACCAGGATGTTGGTATAGGCTAGGAAGTGGGCACAGAACCATAAATCTTCAAAAGTGCTAATTTTCACTTTCAGGCCAGGTGAACCGTGTGCATCCTATTTTTTCTAAATCAGAGGGATGATAGGATACTGTGTTTTAGATCACTCTAGGAGAAAAAGATCATAAAGTAGACCAAGAGACCCACCTATACCTCTGACCACAGTCCTAAGGGCCCATGACTGGAACTGGCAAAGGGAAACAGCTATTAGGGTCAGTGTATCCAGACACTTAGTAATAAACACTCCCACCCCTAACTTTAGAGAAGGATGATCTGAGAGCATAGGCATTCTGTGACAGAACCTGAGTTCTCATTTCCCTATTTACGTTTCTTTCATTGCTGACACTGCTCTCCAGCCAGGAGAGAGCTCTCTGGGCAGAGGAGCCCTCTGCCCAGCTGCTCCTGGTGATCCAGAGATGGCTTTGGTTGGAGAAAAGGACAGACCAGCAGGTCCTTGTACAGGATCACGGGACCAGCTTCACTCTCCCAGCTCTCCCTCGCAGCATCAGAATCCTAGGAGCCTCTGCAGAATACTCATAATAAAGCTCAGTCCTGAACTAAACTAACACACCACCTGGCCCAGGGTATAAAAGTGAAGTCCTGGATATAAAGGTGAGGGTGACCTGGGTGTCCCAGGTGTGGTATAGGCTGGTATAGGGAGTTTGGCTCCTGGAGAGATATATAAGAACCCTTCGTGGGATCAGCAGTTGGCATAATGGCTATGTCACTGGACTCCCATGTAGGTGACCACGGTTTGAGTCCCAGACCCGGTGGCTTAAACTCAAGCCAGGTGTATGTGCATACGTGCCCAAGATCCCGAGAGGAGAATGAAGGAGAAGGGATTGTGGCATAGCTATCCCCCTGGGGGGTGATTTCTTGCTTTCTGTCTCTCTGTCTCTCTTTCTGGCAAGTGCACATGCCCTATAGCAAAAATCTCTCCCCCAAAAAAGAAGAATCATTCCTTAATACCACATGCTTTCTAATCCTCCTCTTTTTCAAACCTCTTTCTCTGCTCCTTTTTTTTTTTACCTCCCTTTAGCCGATTCCATTCCTGGCCACTTCATCCCTTCCAGTTTGAGAAGACATGGTGAGTAGGTGTCTGTTCCCTATACTTTTCTCTCTCCTTTCCTCCCAGCTCCCAACTAAGAGCTGCTCCCATTTGAACTGTCCACCAGGGAATGCCACCAGGATCTAAACCCAGGGTCCCAGCCTCTGCTGTTCCTCTGATCCGGAATTCCACTAGGCTGAGGCCCTCATCCTTCACAATAGTATACCCAGGCTAGACTGGCCTGTGCACTGCCATTGAAGGCTCTGCCCTGGAACACAGGGCACCTTAGAGGTACAGTGGGGTCCTGGCTCTAAATGCATGTATGCCTGTGCATTGGGCACCTTGGTTTATTAGTGTTATTTCAGCATTGTGATGCAGAGAGAGTAAGTATAACAGCTGCTCCTTGCTTGCAGTGTTTATTGTTACCTAGAGACAACCTCCTGGCTTTTTCCCAGCTCCCCCTCCCCCAAGCCCAACCCCCTCCTTGCCAACCATCCTGCTCTCCCCACACTGATGGGAAATTTATAGCTTGCCCATACCATGCCTTTAACCCTCTCCTGTCCATAGGGTAGATGGGCCAATGGAAACCAAGGAGCAGTGGGCATCATAATATGAGGGAAGCAGGGAAAGAAGAATGGCACCTCCCTTTCATTCTGTGTGTCCAGTCTCAGGCCCCAGCTATCCTCCTAGAGAGCTTTGGACCTAGCCTTGAGATCCTGGAAGAGCTCCTTTGGACCTAGACTTGGGATTCTAGCATCCTCCTCGCAAAATTATTCCCTTCCCTGGGTGTGTCTAAGCCTCCAGTCAGGTTGCCTAGACCTGAACAAATACAGCAAGGTGATATTGAAGTGAGAGGGGTAAATACAGAGTGGGAGAACTCTAGCCCCTTTCTTTCTGTCAGAGCAAGAGGTAGCTATAGAGATGTCATATTGAGAAGAATAAGAGGCTCTGGCTTGAAGGATGCTGGACAGACCTCCACAGCTGGGTAGATGTCAAACCTGAAGCCCGCTGCTAAGCATAGTGGGAAAAACTGACCCCCTTAACTTCACCCTGAGCCCAGCACTAAGGTCCCAAGAGATTTCAAGGCCATTCTCCGAACTGGTTTTCCTGGTTAGCTAGGCTATTCCTTTTTGCTTATCCTTCCTAGTCCATTTTCTCCTGCATGTCTTTTGGTTTGGTATCTTGGGGCAGATCCAAGAGACAGGCATTCTAGTCATAGCCTTGACAAAGCTGAGGAAAGGGAAGTCCCTTCATCCCCTCCTGATCTAGGACCTTTCATGGAAGGGCACCATATCATCTATTCACCATCCTTACTAGGAACGGAAGTGAAAAAAAAGGATGAGATTTTGGTAGGAAGAATAGAGGTGATGACATATGAAAATCTTATTCTTAGGATGGAAGACTTCAGAATGGGCCTACTACTATTTAGAGAATTTCCTTTAATCTTTGTTTGTTTGTTTGTTTGTTTTTTAAAATTCTGTAGAGTGTGTGTGTTCAGTGGAGCTAGGCAGAGAGAGGTTAAGTGAGAAAGTCCATCTCCACCACAGGGAGGATGACCACGCCACAGTCCCTTCTCTATTCTCCTCTTGGGATTTTGGGCATACATGCCCACATACTCAGCATGTTATTTAAGCTGCCAGGTTCAGAACTTAAACCAGTGGCCAGCCCACTTTAGAAAATTTTCCTCTTGTCTGTGATGTGTTCAAGTCTGTGCCCACCTGAGACGTACTGGAAGAACAGGGTTACTTTTTAAGGTCTCCTCCAAACACCCTCAACACAAGTTCCACACAGTATACCCCTCTTCAGTTCTTCTTTGTTTTTATTTAATTGTATTATTTTTTAAAAAAATAATTATTTATTATCATTCTTTTTCAGTTTTGACCACAGAGAGAGAGGGAGAGCAAACTGCCAGGCCCAGGACTCAAACTCTGGTCAGCCATGTTGGGGTCTAGCGCCTTTAACCACTATGCCACCTGCCGCCCTCTTCAGTTCTTCTAAATATAGAATGTGTGATGGTTAATTCATAAGTTTAAGAGACAGACAACCCTAGGTTCCAGTGCTAGCTCTGCTGCCTACCACTTATGCTACCTTGGCAAGACACTTAAACCCTAGTTTTCTTGTCTATGAAATGCAGATAAACAGCTATCCCTTAAGGTTGTGAGAATTTCATGAAATAATGTGTATAAAGCACCTATGACAATAGGTGAGCTAGTAAATACTATTGGTGCAAAATAGTACTGTTACTTTTATGGAGTCAGCAAGGGCTGACGTTGCTTCAAAGAGTCTGATTTCCCTGAGATTACAGGCCAAATGTGTGTCTGTGCATATGCTGGGTTTTCATGATGGAGAATAGGGATGGCAGTCCCCTGAAAAGGAAGTAGCTTCAGTCCCTTGACCCTGACTTCCCAAGAAATCAGTTCTCCCATTCCCATACCTCTCAAGTCAGGAGCACCTCAGCCACCGTTCTGCCTAGTTCCATCCAGGAGGCAGCTGGGAGAAACAGCCATTAAAAGGACAACAGCAGCTAGCAATTGCTGGGCATGTCACAGTACATTGTCAAGTACATTCAACTATGTTAGTTCTTTTGGTATTCAGAAGAAGGCAGTAAGGACCAGCAGTTGGCATAATGGCTATGTCACTGGACTTCCATGTAGTTGACCGCAGTTCAAGTCCCAGACCTGGTGGCTTGAACTCAAGCCAGGTGTGTGTGCGTGTGTGCCCAAGATCCTGAGAGGAGACTGTGGGAGAAGGGATTGCAGCATGGCCATCTCCCCTGGGGTGGGGGGGTGATTTCTTGCTTTCTGTCTCTCTCTGTCTTTCTGGCGAGTGCATGAGCCCTATAACAAAATCCTCTTAAAAAATAAATAAATAAATAAAATAAAACAGAAGGCAGTAAAGACAAAAGAACCCCATTTACTGAGTGCCTGTTATGCATCAAGCATTGTGCTGGGTGTATTTTTCAAAGTGTGTTTAAAATCTCATAGAGTATTTCATCACCTACATGTTGTGATTTATTCTTTTTTTTTTCCCCAAGGTTTTTAACATAGGATACATGCGCTCACTTGCCAGAGAGAGTCAGTGAGAGGGAAAGTGAGAAATCACCCGTCAGGGAGGATGGCTATGTGGCAGGCCCTTCTCCTCCATTCTCCTCCTGGGATTTTGGGCATGCACACACACATGCCCAATGTGATTTTCCAGCCCCTGAGTCTGGGACTTGAACCATGGCCATGTGGGAGTCCGGTGTCTAAACGACTATGTCACCTGCTGGCTCCTATATTGTGATGTATAAGAATCTTCATCCCCTTTTTGTACAAGGTGTGTGTAATGTTTTAGATCATCTCACTGTGTGGCTGTCCTTTCTCAGCCTCCCAAGTACCTGGGACTACAGGTGCACACCACTGAGCCAGGCTTTTTTTTTTTTTTTTTTTTTTTTTTCCAAGTCACTGTGTGCTCACCAGAGAGAGAAAGCAAGAGGGAACCTGGGAAAGCACCTCCCATGGGGGAGGTAGGTGGTCACACTGCAATCCCTTCTCTACTTTCTCCTTCTGGGATTGTGGGCACGCGCACACACGTATCCTGTGTTTTTCAAGTTTCTGGGTCCAGGACTCAAACTGCATGGTTAGCCCTAACTACCATGCCATACACTGGCCCTGCATCTGGCATTTTAGGATGAGCCAGGAATTGAACTCCAATCTCCCATGCGGCCCGAGCCTGCCAAGCAGTAGCACCCAATGTGCAATACCATGGTGGAACCTCATCTTCTATTTTTAATTATGTAGATATTTTTACTGTTATAGGTAATATTATAATGAATATCCAAACTGTAGAACTTAATGATTTTTTTTTAAGTTCTGCTGTAGGGTGTGTGTAATCTCCAAAGACAGAGAGACAGACAGAAAAAAGAACATGAGAAATCACTCCTGAGGGAGGATGGCTACAACCCGAATCCCTTCTCCTTTATTCCCTCAGGATTTGGGGCAAGCATGTCCATGTGCCAGGCATGATTTTCAAGCTGCCAGGTGCACGACTTGAACTACACACTTGGCCATGTGGAATCCAACACTTTAACCATGTCACCTGCTGACCCAAACTTAATACATTTTTAATATAAATTCCAAGAAATAGTAGGGGTAAGGTGCTGGACTCTCACATGGCTGACCTCTGCTCAAGTCCTGGATTTGGCGGCTTGAAACTCATGCCAGGTGCATGTGCATGTGTGTCCAAAATCCCAGAAGAAGAAGGTATTGAGGTGTGGTCATCCCCTCTGGGGGATGATTTCTCACTTTTCCTCTCACTGTCTCTTTCTCTCTCTCTCTCTCTATTTCACTGGCAAGCACACATGCCCTATGGCAAAAACCTTAAAATATATATATAAATATATGTATATTTATACATATTTTATATATTTGTGTGGGTGTATATATATATGTATATGTATATATGCATATATATATTCTATACAAAGCTGTGTCATGAGTTTTCCACTGACTCAATAGAATCACTAGGTCAACAGATATAAACACCCACCCGTCAAGGGATCATTTTATTGATGTATCCTATGAGAATGCTTTTTATTAATCTTCCTCTTTGGAATTGTACAATGGAAACACAAAGCCAACCTCCCTCCCATTCCCAGCTGAGACATTAATAATCTATCAGAGTTGGTTTTGTTTTCTGGTTTGAGGTACCTGTACTCACCAGAGGGGGAGAGGGGGGAAGTGAGAAATCTCCTGTGGGGAGGTAGGGGGTGATGGCCATGCCACAGTCCCTTCTCCAGTTTCTTCTCAGGGTTTTGGGCATGCACATACAGGTGCCCAGCATGAATTTCAAGCCTCTGGGTCTGGGACTTGAACCACGCAGTTGGCCATGTGGGATCCAGCCACCTTAACCTCCACACAATCTGCTGGCCCTCTATCAGAGCTTTTGTTAAAAAGAAGAAGAAGAAAGAATTATTTATCTGGTGCCAGCAGTTAGTGTAATGGCTATGTTGCTGGACTCCCACGTAGTTGACCGCAGTTCACGTCCCACACCCAGTGGCTTAAAATTCACGCCGGGCGCGTGTGCGTATGTGCCCAAGATCCCAAGAGGAGAATGGAGGAGAAGGGATTGTGGCATGGACATCCCTCAGGGGGTGATTTCTTGCTTTCTGCCTCTGTCTCTCTCTGTCTTTCTGGCAATCACACGAACCCTATAGCAAAAAGCTCCCCCCCAAAAATGGAAATACACAGTCCATATAAAAGTTATAAGTATATAGCGTTTTAGGATTGTCTTTTTTTTCTGATTTTTTTGGAGAATTTTTTGCTATAGGGTTCGTGTGATTGCCAGAAAGACAGAGAGAGACAGAGGCAGAAAGCAAGAAATCACCCCCCAGGGGGATAGCTATGCCACAATCCCTTCTCCTCCATTCTCCTCTTGAGATTTTGGGCATGCATGCACTAAGTATATAGCGTTTTAGGATTGTCTTTTTTTTCTGATTTTTTTGGAGAATTTTTTGCTATAGGGTTCGTGTGATTGCCAGAAAGACAGAGAGAGACAGAGAGAGAAAGTGAAAAATCACCCCCCGCCCCCCCGTCTCCAAGGGGATAGTTATGCTACAGTTCCTTCTCCATTCTCCTCTTGAGATTTTGGGCATGCATGCACATGTGCCTGGCATGATTTCAGGCCACTGGGTCCAGAACTCAAACCATGATCAGCCATGTGGAAGCCTAGCACCTTAACCACCACACTACCTGCTGGTCTCTGCCAATCCCAGCATTGGCATTTTTCTGCAGCATAATTCCCTGGAAACCTGTCCAAGTTTTTGTATCAGGTATGAATGTCCCAGTTTGTTTAACTATTCAACTGTTGAGGGACATCTGGGCCGATTTCCAGTTTTTGAGTGTTACAAATAAAGCTACTATGAACAGGGACCAGAAGGTGGCGTGGTGGTTAAGGACACTGAACTCCCACAATCCCTTCTCCTCCATTCTCCTCTCGGAATCTTGGGAATGGGTCTGGGATTTGAACTGCAGTCAACTATGTGAGAATGCCAGCACCGTAACCATTGTGCCATCCGCTGGTCTCTATATTCACAATGATTAAACTTCTTAATCTTTTGGGCATGGCACTAGTATTATCTTCCTTTTAGACAAGGAAAACAGGTTCACAGTAAGTCATTTTCTCAAGATCACATGCTGTTAATTGGCCAAGAAGAGCCTGGAATCCAGAATAATAGGGCCCTTTCCACTACACCAGACTTTCTCAGATAGGAAGCCATTCTACCCTTTACTAAGGATGCTTGAAAGAGGATGTGAGCAATATTATCTGAGAAATTTGGAGACAGGGAGAATGTTGGGACAGCCTGGGTCAACTCCAGTCCTCCCGGCCAACTTCGGTTCTTAAGAGCAGGGGAAAACATGGCATGTGCCCTCAAAGTTGTTTCCTTTGCCAGAGAAAAACAAAGCTGAAGTGGATGGAGCCCATGAGCAATCTACCTGCCTATTTGAGACCCGGAATGTGTAAAGAAGGCTCAAGTCCTTGGATATTTCTTAGAGGATGGATGATCAATGTTCTCCTTGGAGATGTGAAGGAGTTCTGACCCTTCTGAGGTCTAAGGAAACTGAGGCCCATGTAAAGTGAGCTTTCTACTCTGGAGGGGTAAGGGAGATAAAGCATTTTTTCTTGTTACTGTTTTTGATGATAGGGGAACTACAGTTCATGTACATACACTCATGTTTGATCAGGGTTTGTTTCTGAGGCACAGTGGAGAGGAACAGAGTAGAAGCAAAAATGCCAATCCAGCAGGTGGTGTGGAGGTTAAGGTGATGGATTCCACTTAGCCAACTATATGGTTTGAGTCCTGGAACCACCTGCTTGAAGATCATACTGGGCTGGGGCCAGCAGGTGGCATGGTAGTTAAGGGCAGTGGGGTCCCACATGGTGGATGGCAGTTCAAGTCCCAGACCTAGCGACTTGCTTCCTCATTTTCTCTCTCTCACTCACTCTGTCCCTCTCTGGTCAGATTAAAAAGAAATAAAGTTAAATAAAATAATTCTTAGAAAATCACACAAGGTGCATGTGCATATAAGCTCAAAATCACAAGAGGAGACTGGAGGAAAAGAGACTGCAGTGTGGCCGTCTTGCCTGGAAGGGTGGTTTCTCACTTTCCTTCTATCTACCTGTCTGCCTCTCTCTCTCTGGTGAGCCCCCGCACTCTATTACAAAACAAAACAACAAGAAAAAGTCTGCCCTGTGCTTAGCCCTGACTTCACAACTGTTTTTTTCCCTCCAACTAAAATCATGGACCACTAAGTCTGGAGAAGCTGGGGAAATTGTTTGTTCTGTCCCTCAGCCTCTGGGCACTAGTTGAAGCTGACAGGTGGAAACCTAGAGTTGGCCCAGACACGATTTCAGAGATGATAGTGATGCCAACTTGCAGGAGAGGAGGTTTGGCTCCTCTCCTGGGAGCTGTGTCTGGCCAAAGGCTGCCACCTCCCACCTCCTGCTGGAGCTGGCTCTTTTATAGTTGATGTTACTGTTGCTCCCTTGGCCTTTTCCAGTAGATGTGGACTGCTGACCCTTCCCTGCATTTACCTACAGCTCCATGCTGCAATTACATACCACTCTTCTCCGTCTCCTCCCTCTCATCACTAATAATAGCTCTCCCAGTGGCACCCCTTATCCCTACCCTGTAATTCCAGCCATGGAAGATGAAAACATTGAGGTTCAGACTTGGAATGGGGATTATAGGGATTACATAGGGACCCTACTGCATCATTGAACCAAGTAGAGATAGCCTTTATGAGCCTCTGTCTTTTGGTTGGACGTTTGTAGGCAAAGGGAGACCGCTCTTTCCTGTCTCTTTTCCCCTCTCTGCACTGAGATTCCCTGACCCTCAGAAGAACTGAATGTAGCTGGTAAGAGCTACCTTTCCTTGGAGCCAAGATGGTTCCTAACCAGGAAATCGCAAGACCCCCTGTTGTTCCCTTTCTTTGGTTGCTCCTCTGTACCATACCCCCTCCTCTCCCTCCACCACTCCCTTCCCATTCCTCCTTTCTCTTCTCTTCACTCTCCCTCTCTCTCTCTCTCTCTCTCTCAGCAAGTTTTTTATGTGATTACAGGCACTGCATGGTAATTAGTGCTAAACTCATTTGCACAACTACAGTTAATTGGCTACAACAATTAATTAATGTGTTGGAAATTTGGCACTGGAAAAAAAAAGTTTGTCATCAAAAAAAGGGCAAAAAATTGTAGAGTGAGGTACCCATAAAAATCTAGGGCAGGCTTCAAAAGCCCAGCTGGGCCTCAAACTTCAGGCCGGTCTCAGATGCCTTCTCACTTCCAACTTCAACATATTTTCCTCTTTTATCTTTCATTTTTTCCTCCTTTCTCTCTTTCTTTTCTTTTCTTTCTTTCTTTTCTTTTCTTTTTTTTTTTTTTTTTTTTTTTTTACAACTTAAGCAAACTCATTTCCCTGATAAAATATAGCATGACTAATGGCTAGAGCATGTAAAAATCATTGGGAAAATGTCCTTGGAAGACGAATGCATTTTCAGCAGAATAATTAACTTAATTAACAAATTCACATGCATATTCATCAGGCTATTAATGTCTTCTCGGCTCAGCTTGATGAACATTGCGGTAATAACCATCTCATTTACATACTGCATTCTACTGCGATCCAAAACAGAGACAACATACAGGCGTATACACACGCACGCACACACACGCACAAATACACACAACATGCCTGGGCCATTCTTGACTTCCAGGTTGGCTGGGAGTGTGTGTGTGTGTGCATGTGTGTGCATGCGAACGTGCGTGTGAGAGAATAAGTGAGTAAGGGAGTGGACGGTGGGAACCCCTGCTAGGTGGTGTGATCCTTATAGGGTCATGAGTCAGGTGGGCTAGAGATGCCTACATGTGGATGTCTGAGAGAACTTAATTCATATTCTCTCTCGCTTGCTGTCTCGCTCTGCCTCTTTTTCCTTGTTTCCTTTTCTCTGTGTCATTTTCTCTCTTCTCTTGCCCCCCCCCAACCCCACCATATCTCTCTAGGGGAAAACTTGGTATCCGTGCCAACTTTTTCCTCCCTCCCCTCCTCCCTCTCTCTTCTCCTTCCCTCTCCCAACTGCTGCCAGCCGGCATCAGCGCCGAATTGCCATCTCCTTGAGCTCTCTGTGGAGCAATCTCAGAGAGCAGTAAGGTGTGACGCGGGGCTCTGCCGGCTTCGCGGCACCGCCTGCGGAAAGAGCGCAGGATGGCGGAGGAAGATTAAGAGAAATCGCGAGCAGGGCTCGGCTGCCATTGGTGTGTGCAAACGCCGAGAAGGAAGGGAGAGGGAGAGCGAGGAGGGGGGGAGGGAAAACCAGCAGCTGTCGGCCTAATTCTTCTAACACTCTGCTTGTGGTCATATTAGAAAAACAGATTATGCCCCTCGGTGCCACTCACTTATACTTGACATACGTTAATGTTCTATATCTCCATTCTCTGAGTCTTGAGGACAGTGGACTTGAGGTCCACGAGGATGGGGGCCTGGGAGGCTAAAGGGCACAGAAGACCCTGTCCTCTCATTCTCTCCTGACCTCCAACCCCAGTCTCTACTCACCGTTTGGGAAGCAAGCCTGGGCTCAGTTTGCATTGGATGCCACCAGATGGCCCGGTGTTTTATAGCCTCTGTAAAGGAGGTGCAGAGGTCAGAGGACAACCAGAAGTCCCTCCTAAAGGTCACCACCCCCTTAGGATCTTAATAGCTTAGTCAGGGCCAAGTGAGACCAGCTTTGTGGAATCCTACGCCTAACCTCTCTATGTGCCCTTCCCAAATCACAAGTTGGGGGTCAGAGAAAGAGGTCTGTGATAGTGGGTGCTCAAGAGGGGGTTACAGAGAAGCAAAACAAGGCCAGGATTGTTTCTAAGTTGCCATGGAAATCTGGTTCCCTGCTCCTGGCAGGAAGGGAGTGCCCAAGGCCTTCCTCCTTCTACCAATCCTGAAGGTTATGAAGGAGGAGTTTGCTAAGGCCTGGGGAAAGGGCTGGTCTTGGCAAACAAATCAAGCCCTCCCCACAACCCCACCTGCCTGTCCATAGCCCTCCATCCACCTTCATGACCCTCCCATCCCAATATGCAGTCAAAGAGGGGTGCCTTTTTCCTCTGGTGCCTTGTCCTCTACGGAGACCTGTTGCTTAGCAACCACTAGTGCCTTCTTCCTAATAACTGGCAGGAACTGAGAGATATAGTATCTGTCTCTATATTTCGTTCCTGTCCCCTATTTTTATTTAATAACTGTCTTGGATTTCCTTAGCACCTGCTTTATAGGACTCTTGGATTAAGGTGCACCTGAAGACAGAAACACCTGAGGAAAAATTTCTGTACAGGGAAGAGTGGAAGAAGACACTGGAATAGAGGATCAAGGGAAACTATGGAATTATCTTAGTTATAGATAGAAAAAGAAACATTTAGAACTTGGGATGTAGGAAGGGAGTGATCACAGAGATTTCTAAGGGTCAGCTCCAGGTCCTGGAGTAGCTCTTGACAACTGCTTACCACACTGGCATTTCTACTCCCTACAGCCTTCACTGCCCTTGCCTCTTGACCACTTCTAGTCTAAGTCCTTCTTATATTTTCTTAATTTCTCCTCAGAGAGAGAGAGACAGAGAGGAAAAATGAGAAAGCATCCTCATGAAGGATGGACACACCAAAATCCCTTCTCCATTTCCTCCTCCTTTTTGGAATTTTGGGCATGCATGCACACTCACTGGTGTATTTTTGAAGCCACTGGATCCAAGACTTGAACCATGCAGTCAGCCATGTGGGATCCAACTGCCTTCACTTCCATGACCCCAGCTGGCCCCTCTCACATTTCTGTATATGATGGACCCATCAGACTTCCAGGTTTCTAGTGTCTGGATGTTGATGTCCAGGAACTGAGCTGGGCCTGTGCATGTCCCCCAATGCCTGGGCATCTCCCATAGTTTTTCAGTCACTAGGAAGGAGTTCTTCTGAGCTCCTCACTAGAAAAACCCCACACCTGATCTGGTAGTGGGGGCTATACAATATCACCACAAAATGAGTAAGGAAGGCTGAAGACAGCCTGGTGCCTGTGTGCAGAGTCCAGGGACCCAGGTTTGGTACCTCTCTCCTTCCTCTCCTCTGATTCAGGTTATTATCAACTTAATCCTTTATAACCTTTGCCATCAAATTTAACTAAAATACTATTTTAAAGTCTGAAAAGGGTCTTGTTCGGGGGAAAGAGAGGTATCATAAAACCAGCCCAGCCCTGGGTTTAGGAATATCCCTTTTCATAGCAATCCTGCTGCTGACCTCCCATTTATGTGACTCTTTGCCCTCTGGTCAGTGGGGCAGAGAGCTATAAATAAAAATTTAGTGTGAAGCTGTGTATGGAGAGTTGTACAGTCGTGTCCCATCATCCTCTCACCTCCAGTCCCAATCTCTGACCTCTGGTCCTCATCAGCCAAGACAGTGGCCCTGCTGACACCCTACCCTGACCCTCCAGCATCTCCCCAGCCAGTACCTTCATTGTTATCCTGCTAGCTCACAGACTGTACAATTTCACCCACCATACCCCCCTTCTCTACACCTCTTCCAACCCAAGCCTTCTGTGGGAGACAGATGGGGTGTCTGCGATGGAAAAGGCTCTGGGCTGTACGCCGCCTTGGGTGGGCAGCCCCCCTCACCATCTCCCCACTGCTCCCTCTCCCCAGCTAAGACACTCAGATTCACCCCGGGCAGCACTGGGAGCTGCTGAGGATTCCAACTCTTTTTGCTTCTCAGGCTCAGTCCCCAGAAGTAGAGCCAAAATGCCATCTTTCTTTGAGACCCAGACCCTATCCCCTCTTTATGGAAGACTGGTGCAAAGGCGGAAGTAGGTTACGGAATGATAGGCATCCATGGGACAGGACTGATGTGGAGAGGCAGGGAGAGGTCCCAGGCCTTTCACTGAGTACTAGATGGCTGGGGTTCAGGGGCCTGAGTTGGCAGAGGAGACTAAGCTGGGCAGTTCCTTTGTTCCAGAAATTTGAGGTCCCAGGAGGAAGCTCAGCTTGCTGGTGGGGGAGAAGAAGCTAATATTACAGAGCACCACCTATAAGCCAGGCACAGTGCCAGAGCCTTTCTGTACCTGTACCCGGCTGCCAGGTGAGGAGGAGTCAGGGCACATCGGTTTCTCAGGAGCTCCTAGCATCTTGGCCCAGTTGACCACCTGCTCCTTTAATTCTGCAGTGTCACTGCCAGTTCTTCTACAGCTTTGGCTGCCTTTTTTTTTTTTTTTTTTTTTTTTAAGTTTTGCCATAGGGTGAGAGACAGGAAGAGAGAGGGAAACTGAGAAATCACCCCCCAGGAGAGATGACCACGCTGCAATCCCTTTTCCTTTTCCTTCATTCTCTTGGGATTTGGGGCATACGCGCACACACACCCAACATATTTTTCAAGCCGCCAGGTCTGGTACTCAAAACATGCAGTTAGCCATGTGGGATCCAGCGCCTTAACCTCTATGCCTCCTGTGATCCAGTTGCTCTTTCTCTGTTAACTTGGCAAGCTCATCCTCAACTTAGACTCAGTCAAGTCTCCCAATTAAACACTTTTGTGGTCCTTTGTATTCTTCCAGGGCACAGTTGTAATTATTTGTATGGTCATTTGAATTATAATTGTAGGTTTGCTGGATGGAAAGTTCCACAAGGGCAGTGACACAGCTGTCTGCCCACCTGTGTGTTCCCAGGACCCCACACAGTGCCTAGCAGAAAGCAGCTGTTCGGTAAGCATGTATTGTTTATAAATGGCAACAGGACATCACTCTGGCCTAAACTTAGCTTCTTAGCCACTCTAATTCCAGAACTGACCCACTACCCCAACCTGCAAACCAGTGAACAGGGTACCTGGGAAGTCAGGGCCCCTTGTTTTCCCTAGAAAAATCCATCAGGACAGGACCAGCCCTAGACCTAGAATACAGGGTCACTGCTCTGTCAGAGCCCGGCCCTCCTTGTCTGCTCTCCAACTTCTCCAAGGAGCGAGATAATTCAAAGTCTCAACCATTTCTCCTCACAAGGGAGCCCAAAGTCACTCATGTATGCTGGAAGGAAGAGGAGTTCCAGCAGAAAACTTTTTTGCCTTAGCTGAGACTAAAGAGACCATCTGCTGCCACCTCTCTGTGTGCTTCTGTCCTCTTCCCCTGGGCTTCAGGGAACGAGGTGGTCAAACCATGTGT